GGAATAAGAAAGCATAACCGAAAGCCTCTGAACATTATATAGACCATTTAAGAGCGTCAGTTTGGTTGGAAGTTGGTAGTTGGATATTCGACTGACCGACTACCTACCTGATTGGTGGTGGTTATTCACAATGGCTAAATATTTAACAGCGTCTGGTTGGTGGACATAAGAAGACAAGACGTTCATTCCAGTTTTAAAGTTGAAATTATCAATAACCTGTGGGTAGGTTGTTGGGGATTCGAGCGGATAACCAACTAGATCCCTTCTTTTTTTCTGTGTTTAAAAATGTATGATGTATTTGACTATTTGAGTGATGGTGATAGTGGCTTACATTACCAACGAACATATGTTAAGTAGTTAACAAATAACCAACTACCAGCCAGTAGGTAGTTGGTTATTTAAATATACAACTAACTACCAAATTGAAACTCCTAGTAAGTCATACCACAACTATTTAACAGGCATAATATGGAGGCTGATATCCACTCAGTGTTAGATGGTCGGAAAATGATTACTTATCATAATTATATTACGTAACAATAAGAGGTTATTTAAAAATTTTATTGAATTCTGTAAAGGTATTAATCTCTAACATTTTTTATCAACTCAGGCACACTAAAAATATTAATTAATTTGTGAATTCTTAAGAAAACGGGCCTCGTTATAATATTATATATCGTACATAAGGTTGATTGGTATCTTAATATTGTAATACATCGTAGATTAGGTTGATTGATATGGTAATATTGTAATACATCGTACATTAGGTTGATTGGTGTCGTAATAATGTAAAACATCGTAGATAAGGTAGATTGGTGTAGTAATATTGTAATGCATCGTTATTTGGTAGATTAGTATCGAAAAAAATACATCGTAAATCAGATAGATTGGTTACAAGTTATGCATCGTAGATTAGGAAGATTGGTCTCGTAATAATGTAATGCATCGTTAATTAGGTTGACTTGTATCGTAATAATGTAATAAATCGTTGAGCATGTAGATTGGAATCGTAATAATGTAATACATCGTAGATCAGATACTTATTAGATTGATATCGTTACAAGTTTTTACATCGTAGATTATGAAGATTGATCTCGTTATAATGTAATGGATCTTAGATTAGATAAATTGGTCGCATGCTAATGTAATGCGTCGTCGACAAGGTTGGTTGGTGTCGTAATAATGTAATATATCGTAGAAAAAATATATTGGTATCATTATAATGATATATATCGTAGATTAGGAAAATTTTACTTGTAATAATGTATCAGTAACATATTTTAAACAAGATATGTTTGTAAAACATGTATGCCCCCTATCGGCAGCCAATTTGTCATGTGATCAGGTTATTATGCATGATTTCTGACCCAGTGAACAAGCAATTAATAAATGTTATCTAGTATCTACTGGTCTTGACTAGTCACAAGGTAATAATTATTGTGACCCCATAGGTTGTGTGCAGCAATTTAAGTTATTAAAAATCTTACCAAATAATATATACATAAATTTTATGAATCACATAGGCCTCATTAATGACAGCCAAGTTGTTATATTACATAAGACCTTCAAATGTGTATACCAAAAGCACATAAAAATATCAACCAAGGCAACTTGAGTTGTTGCGTTATTGGTCAGAAACGGTCATTAAGTACAAGGTCACTATGACATTGATCCCTTGACCCCCAAATCAATAGGGGTCATCTGCTGGTCATGACCAATCATCATACCAAGTTTGAAGTTCCTAGGCCTAAGCGTTCTTTAGTTATTGATCTGAAACCGTTTTTACCTACAAGGTCAATGTGACCTTGACCTTTGACCCATTGACCCAAAAATCAATAGGACTCATCTGCTGGTCATGACCAATCACCATACCAAGTTTGAAGTTCCTAGGCCTGAGGGTTCTTAAGTTATTGATCGGAAACGAAACTGTTTTTACCTACAAGGTCAATGTGACCTTGACCTTTGACCCCTTGACCCCAAAATCAATAGGGGTCATTTGCTGGTCATGACCAATCACCATATCAAGTTTGATGATCCTAGATCTAAGCGTTCTTTAGTTATTGATCGGAAACCGTTTTAACATACAAGGTCAATGTGACCTTGACCTTTGACCCCTTGACCCCAAAATCAATAGGGATCATCTACTGGTCACGCCAATCACCATACAAAGTTTGAAGTTCCTAGGCCTATCTGTTCTTAAGTTATCACTCGGAAACCATTTGGTCTACGGACCGACGGACGTTCCTACTGAGTTGACATTATGGGTTTTTTTCTTTGATCTCCTTTGATCTCTAAAACCCCATAAGCAACGTATTTGCACCCCATAAGCAACCTTTTTCCTCACAAGTACCGTCTGTACGGATTGAACATGGATATTCACCCCACATCGTCATTTCAGTGAGCTCGGACCGACAGACCGGACGGACCGACGGACCGACAAGTGCAAAGCAATATACCCCCTCTAATTCGAAGTGGGGGCATAATAAGGTAAACATGTCTAGTAGTTATTTCATAGTTATTCGTCTTAGAAAGACTGGTAACAGTTATAAATCTTGAATAAAGGAAATAGTTCTCTTAGAAATGTTTCTGTTATACATCTTAAATATAGGAAATTCTGGAAACAAAGTGATCCCTCGGAAGCATTAATCACAACAAAGTAACATAAGACTTGCAGATTCGGTTTGATTGAGTCTGTACATGAGGGGTAATGAATAAGTGCAACATCCCTCACGCCCCCTAGCACTTGCCTAAGCGGTACTCAATTCTCAACACTTTATAGTGTTGGCATCAATGATCCCGAAGGACCAGAAAATATAACAACACTGAAGTAAAGTACAGGGCAACTTTTTACGGCTGCCACACGGCACTTGACACCTGCTGTTGTGAAGAACAAAATTCTGATAACAAAGTGATCCCTCGGAAGCATTAATCACAACAAAATAACATAAGGATTGCAGATTCGGTTTGATTGAGTCTGTACATGAGGGATAGTTAATAAGTGCAACATCCCTCACGCCCCCTAGCACCGGCTTGAGCAGTACTCAATTCTCAACACTTTATAGTGTTGGCATCAATGATCCCGAAGGAGCAGAAAATATAACAACACTGAAGTAAAGTACAGGGCAACTTTTTACGGCTGCCACACGGCACTTGACACCTGCTGTTGTTAAGTATAAAATTCTGGAAACAAAGTGATCTCTCGGAAGCATTAATCACAACAAAATAACATAAGAATTGCAGATTCGGTTTGATTGAGTCTGTACATGAGGGATAATGAATAAGTGCAACATCCCTCACACTCCCTAGCACCGGCTTGAGTGGTACTCAAGACTGATCAAGTAGTTATTAAACAGAAATAGGTCTTAAATATAGAAGACTAATCTGGTAGTTATTGACCAGAAATACGTCTTAGTTATAGAAGACTGATCTGGTAGTTATTGAACAGAAATACATCTAAAATATGAAAAATCTGGTATTGAATAGAAATGCATCTTAAATATAGAAAACTGATCTGGAAGTTATTGAATAGAATTAAATCTTAAAAAGAAAAATTGGCCTCGTAGTAATTTATTTATAGATCTCAAATAAGGTAAAGTTGTCTCATATTAATGTTAAACATCTTGACCTAAACTATGGAGGCTTGTCTTATAATGTTAAACCCTCTGAACCCCCGTATGATGGCCTCATACTTATATTATGCATTTTCATCCTGATAGATTTGTAACGTTTTTTGTTATAATAACTCCATAAAGTCGGACTTCCTTAATCAGGTAGGCAGGCCTCGTGATAATGATTTACATTGTGATCAAGTATACGGGGCTTTTAGTAAACTAATACAATATAAATTCTATAGGTAAAGATTTTCATATTTAAACTATCTGTATATCAAATGACAGTAAAGACATTTAATCAATCAATATTGATTTTCTCACATACTGAAAATAAAATCAATTTTCCGAAAACCGTATTGCACCGATCATACTTGTTGTTTTTTTCAACGGAACATAGTATAAGGCTCCTAATCGAATGATAACCACTTTTGTTAAACAATGTTTAAACAATACAAATTTTTTAATGGATTAACAAACTAGTAATTGGAACGTATTAGCATTTGATTCGCGTTTCATGCAAAGAAGAACAGATATAGATTGTATTGATTGAAACAGTAAATTATTAATGCTATACAAGGATATCTTTAAGCGAGAAAAATCAAGTTTTTCGTTATAAATGGGAATAGAACATTGTTCATTTTCTATTTGTTCTACCGTGTTGATGTGGTGTATCATAGTGTTTATTTGTCATTGACTAATGAATGCAGGTAATGAATTGTTAAAGGATATTTGGGTGTATTTGTTGTTGTTTTTTTTAAATTTTAATCAGTAAAATACTCCAGCCTTGGTGTATGGAAAGGTAATGATAGATTGTGATTGTGATTGTGATGATGTGTAAAATCAAATTGATGAATTGATGATCATATTTTGATTACATTGTGATAATTATATAGCTTTTGAACATTTCAAATATTTCAGATATAGCTACTAAGGGGATACTAAATTGAAATAGGAAAAAGCGAACTCTATAAATTCCAGAGTCCATTGTGAGACGTGATAAGACTAGACCAGTAAGTAAAATATCGTTTTATTCTAGCATTGTTTAGGGTTTATGGTATCGGGTGTAGAGGGTTGTGTATAATTAACATTTTATCTAATTTATTGTTTACATTGTTGTTGTTTTTTTGGGGTTTTTTCTTTTGCTACGTTTTATTGCACTCGTGCACCAACTCCACGTCTACCGATGAACATGTATCTCAATTCAAAATTTTAAGATTGTCATTTATAAATGATGAATACTGCTTGAGCCGGTGCTAGTGGGAGTACCGTTCTTTAACAGGCTCATTAAAGTCGACCATGCTTTTTGGCGTTTTTAGAGATTCCGTGTTTCTCTAAATTACTTTAAAGTGTATACTCTGGCGATACTAAAATCCTCTTATGAAGCCCATAATGTGGCTGCATGGAGGTGTATCACTTTCTCCATCTACATCTGGGGGACATGAAACAATGTCGTGAAATTGGGACATGTTAAAAATAAGCAACGTTATAATACGCTCTAACGAGGAATATCTTCATTCTAATGTGTGTGTCCTATAAATGCACCAAGAAAAGCCCAACATTAACTACATGTATATAAGAAACAAAATGTTACATTTTGACATTTTGATTTACAAACCAAGTAATCGGAGTAGGTTTTTTTTCAGGACTCAGGCCGGACAATATTTGTAATATCATTATTATTTCAGGACACTAGTATGTTGTATATTGTTGATTTATGAATTATTTCATATCAAATAGCTTGTGGGGTTTAATGTTGTTATGATAATAAGACGTCTAAAGAAGATTAAAAATGGGAATAAAAATGTTATTTTAATATCACTTCAAGACTATTGTTTGGGATGAATAGTATTGTTTTAACATAGTCTAAGAACGCTTATAAGGCCAAATGATGTACATAAACATACCGGTGGTTGTCTTCATTTTGCATTATTATGAAATATATTTAGAACCAGAACATAAATATAAATAAAATCTCTTATTATAACAATGTTTCAGGACAATTGTTGCAAAGGAATGGAGTTTTAAGGAAGCTTATTGGACTAAAAGTGTTCATATAATATCAATGATTAACAACATTTTTTCATCATTTTAGCACTCCAGTGGATATTACTGTTAAACAAAATCTTGACACATGTGGCACACATGTCAATTCTGAAACTGAATCCGAAACTGAAAGAACAATAACGCCTGAAGAGCTAGATAAAGATAGGTATTACGCTTGAGACATATTAAGAAGTATTTGTTAGTGCATTTATTATCGCGACCGGATTTATTTTTTCATTAAGAAAACGTCAAGAAAAGAAGTGTGCGACTAAATGTTGTTATTATGTATTATTGTTGTTACTATAACATCGTTTCAGCACTTCAGTGGGATTTAATAATGAACAAAAGCCGGATACTTGCTCAGATGTTCGGTCAGAAATAATGGAAATAATGGAAGCAACTCAAACTGAACAGACGAAAATGTCAGAAGAAACTGACAGAGAGAGGTACGACAAACCAAGCACATGTCAATAAGTATTCAAACATTTATAAATTTCAGTTGTTGAACATGTTTTTCTATACGAAAAAGTAAAAGACAAGTTTATATGATTTTCAATAAACATCTATGTCATAGTTTGTGAGATATATTTAGATAAAAAGGGTTCATATATTTCATTAAATCGTGTCAGGACTTCAGCGGGGCCTAATGTTGAACAAAAAGTAGCAGACACTGAAGAAACGATAACACCTGAAGAACCTAACAGAGATAGGTACGAAAAAACAAATACATTTCAATAAGTGTTCAATTTGAATTATGAATATATTTCTGTTGTTGAAAATATTTTTTATACGAAAAGATAAAAGACAAGGTTACATGATATTTAATAAATATGTCTGTTATAGTTTTTGGAATATATTTATTTAGTTTATAAAATTGTTTCAGGACGGTGGGGCCTAATGTTGAAGAAACAGTTGAAACTAGCCCGAGAGTCCATTTCGAAACAGTAGCAAAAACTGTTACTGAAAAGACGATAACACCAGAAGAGCTTAATAAAAAGAGGTATAACGCTCAAAACATTTTAAGTATTTATCAATAGATACATTTTCGCGCTGTAGCAAAATCAAAGAATTTATTTTTAAAAAATCAGGGCCATTATGTGGATTTGTTAGATGCTATTATTGTATTGTTTCAGGACAATTGTAAAACATGTTGTTACCATTCAACAATGTTTCAGAGATGAATATTGAGAATATTTTTTAGATTAATTTTGAACCACTTGCCTCTCACCTCTGTAGGCTAGAATTCCGTCATGTTAGAAAGCTATTCAGATGGATAATGGATCATTGGTGCTTATTATCAGACATCAAATCTTATCTGAAATAATGCATGGAGGGGAACCTGAGTTCTTCATACCTTTATAGGTGGAAACTCGACAAAGGACATTAATAAAAAATATACTGAATTTACATAGTTAAAGGGTTTCATATTGCATTAAACTATCGTTTCTAGGCACGCGTTGGGCTTTATGTTCCTATTTTAACATGGTTTACGGATGGGTTTGAATGGGTTACATAATGATATCATAATGATATTGTTAAAGGACCGAAGTGATGTATTTAATATCATTGTTTCGTAACTGAAATTGGATTATTGAAGAACATAAATCCGATCCGGTCGAACCTTTTCCGTATTCAAAAAACATGTAGGAACTGAAATTCCACTGGAAATTATGTAAGATAAGGTATGATGTCCAAGACATTTAAAAAAATATTCATGAACGTTAAGTTTGTTTCTGTGGCTTTGATCTTTTTATATGAACGGTATGGGAATTATAAAGCACAGTGGTATGAAAATAATGTGTCGTTAATGGGCACTATGTAGGCGTAAAAACGTAGTTCCTGAGCGTATAAATAGATTATTATTGTATCAATAACATCGTTTCAGCTTCATAGAGGAGGGATTAAATGATGAACATAAACCTAATACTTGCACACATGTCGATTCAGAAATAGTCGGTGAGACTGAAACTGGACAGACGATAATGTCAAAAGAGCTTGACAAAGATAGGTATGACACACCCAGTATTCAATTTAATCAATGAATAAATTTCTGTTCTTGAAATCGTTTTTCTATATATGAAAAAAGTAAAATGATACTTTTACATATGTATGGAACATTATGTATGATTTAATTAAGTACATTAAAGTGTGTGTAACCTTATATCACGTGACAAAGTATAATGTTGTCATTCTAACCTCGTTTTAGGGCTCCGTTGGGGCTTGATGTTGATCAAACAACTGATACTGGCACAGATGTCCGTTCTGAAATAATGGTAAAAAATGAGCGAACGATAATGCAAGAAGATCTTGGTAAAGATAGGTATGACGTTAAATGAATTTTAAGAAGTATCAATTTAGAATTGGACTTTTTCTATAGATAAAAAAACAAATATATATAAATAATATGGGATTCAATGCTGTTGTCATATATAAAAGTTTCAGAACAATTGCCGACAAATTATCTCTTTTCATTTTAGGGCCTTTTTGGGGAAGTCTTATTATAGTGTTATCCTTGTATCGTTTCAAGATAATTTTGAAACTTGCTATTATCATTAATACATTGTTTCAGGTATTGAAAACTTTATTTGTATCAATTAGAGGGATAACACAATCTTTTCTGAACACCTGCGAGACTTAATGGGAAATCAAATAATCGTTTCTAGACAATTGTTTGGGTTAATGTTGTTGTTAAAACATGGTTAAACGATGGCATTGTAATAACATAGTTTGAAGACTAATGCTTCCGTGGGATCACTTTGTTTCCAGATTTTTGGTTAAATAGTGTCTTTAAAAAATGTCGTTCTAGTGATATAGTCGTACCTATTGAGGAAGGAAATCTCGATGATGACAAACTAGCCCATTTTGAAGAAAATGAAGAACCTCAAGTTGCACATGAGATAGTTTCAGAAGAGCTTGATAAAGAAGTATGGTATGGCATTCAAGACATTTTAGACATTTTAACAATTGAACACTTCATTTCTGTAACTGGAGTTTGTTCATTATGAAAAAATATTAAAGAAGTTGATTTTTGGTATTGGGATCAATATTACTTAAATACATCGTTCATAAATTGTCATTGGGCTTTTAATTATCAGAAGATACTTTAAGAAGAGGTTTTGTGTAGATTAATGGCGTTGTTATAACATTGTTTCAGCACTCCTGTGGAGCGTAATGATGAACAAAAACCTGATATTAACATACATGTACATCCTGAAATAATGGAAACAACTGTAACAACTGAACCGGCGATAATGGCAGAAAAACTTTACCAAGACAAGTATGAGATCCAGGACATTAAAAGAAATACTGTATTCCTAGAAATGTTCGCGAATACAAAGTATCGGACAGTACATCGTTTTCATTATAACAACATAACAGCTGTTTATCAATGTAGCGCTTGATCACTATTGTACTTTTAACAAAGGATTACACTTTCTCCAAGCAAATAAAATCATTCAATGTACGCAAACTGTAAATATTATTGTTTACGCCACGACTAGCGAATAACTTCAATAAGCATGATAATTACTAATAATTGACTTTTTCAGGGTCCAAACAGGTATCTATAACATACATACATATGTTTTAAACATTTCTATAGCACCTGTGTTTATATGTTTCTTGTGTAAGTAGATTATAATAAATATTCTGCATGTTTATGTTTTTATTTGGTTGAAGCTAGAAATCATCGCAGATTTGTTATAAGTGACATAATCGCGACAATAAAGATTCGCGGAATCATGCCTACCGCGAAAAGCGCTAACTTAAAACGCGCGAAATCTTTTCTAGGAATACAGTACTGTATTTGAGTTATTGATAGTTCTTTGATGTTTAAAAGTAACACGATATCTTATTCACACTTTTATAAATGTTGTTGGGATTTTTTTAAAAAATCACTAAATGTATGAAAGCCCTTATTTAATATGAAAAATAATGCTGCTGTTTTATTGTCATTATCGCTGTAGGTCTTCAGATGGGCCTAATGTTAAACAGAGTTCTGATACTGACACACATGGCCATTCTGGAACAGGTGTGGAATCCAAAACTGAACAGAAGATACTTTCAAAAAAACTTGATAAGAATAGGTATAATAATAAGAACCTTTCAAGAATTTTAAGTAGTATTTTAAGAAATATTTATCTCATTTTTTGTGGTTGTTTTCTCCTGTATGAAACAGTACATTGTAATAACCATGATGTGTTATATTTAACTTATTTATGGCATAATTACATAGTTTCTGGACATTTGTATAGATCAATCATGTTATTATAACATCATTTGCGGGCTTGTCGGTAGTCTATGCTCAATGAGGGGCATCCGCCCTTTAAGGCACTAAGAGTACATACACCGGACATGTCATCAGCCAATAATATAATATTATTTATTATTTAAAGTGGCGACCTAATTGATTTGTATATCAATAAAATGATGTTTTTACATGTATCGTTTTAGGATACTTTGGCGGCTTGAGGGTCTTAGTTTTGTATTTATTATAACGTTGTCTCAAGAATTAAGACATTTATAGCTATAAGTAATGCTATAATATGATCTCAGGACGTTGAGAGGCCTTAAAATTTTCGTTATAGTGTCGATGCGAGACACTCGTAGTTTAAGGACTCTCAATTGGTAAAATGGTGAATTGTAAAACATATCGTTTAAGAACGTTAGGTGGTTTAATATTTATAGTATTAACATCGTTTCAGGACGCTTAATGAGAAAGAAAAACCCGATACTGACAACATTACCCATTTTGAAAAACAATGTAACTCTTAACTCAAAATTACATCTGTTTCTGTTGTTTGTTTGTTTGCTGTTTGTTTGTTTATTTGTTTGTTTGTTTTGATTGTGTTTTTTTTTCATGTTTTTTGTTTTATTTGTATTTGTATGTGTTTTTTTTGTTGTTGTTGTTTCTTGTTTTTTCTACTTTTTTAAGTTTCTTGCTTGTTATTTTTGTGTCATTTACTTTCGTCGTGATGACCTATTTCAGTATTAATACATTTTATATTATTTTTTTAAATTCCATTATCAGAGCATAATGTTGACTTATATTGGCTTTATGAAATCTTTTCAGTACCACCTCGGTGGGACGTAATGATGAACAAAAACCCAATGCTGGCACAAATGTGGTAGAAACTGAAACCGAACAAATGATCATGTCAGAAGAGCTTGACAAAGACAGGTATGATTCCAAAAGCAATTTAATATATGTTCAATCATATACAGGAATAGATATATGTTGCTTGAAAAGTAAACTATACGATGTAGTATGATACATGTATCTTATACATATGAATTTTCTAATACATATTATGTATGTAGAAGTTTCTAATAGCTTATGATTGTCACCTTGCCTTGTTGAGCTTTGTTTTCCTTTTTTCGAAAAAATATTTCTTTCCGTTACAAACTATACAACTGGTAACCCTATTTCATGAAACAAAGATTATGCAAAATGTTAAAACAAATACAAATAAAGTTTCATTATTTCAGCAGTGCGTATATCATTGCCTACAGATTAATGCTTATCTAACAAACATTGTCAGGGATTTTTCATTGTAATAAATATTTGTAGAGAACAAAGCCGATGTGTCTAATATCATCTCACATTCAAATTGAAATAAATATTTGTAGAAAATAAGATTGGATATTTGAAAAACCGATGTGTCTAATATCATCTCACATTCAAATTGAAATAAATATTTGTAGAGAACAAGATTGGATATTTGAAAAGCCGATGTGTCTAATATCATCTTACATTCAAATTGAAATAAATATTTGTAGAGAACAAGATTGGATATTTGAAAAGCCGATGTGTTTAATATCATCCAACAATGGACTTCTTGAAGTTGTAGACGACACAGTGAGGGCGTTAGAGAAAATTGAGATGCCATTAAATGTTGTAGCTATAGCGGGCCTTTACAGAACAGGTAAATCCTACCTGATGAATCGATTGGCTGGAAGAAACTCTGGTAGGTGGTTTTAATCATAGATTCGATGAAATAAAAGTCTTTGAAATTATATATAAGTTTGCTTTTCGTTTACCTTAGACTATTTTTGTAAACCATGGATGAATTACCATGCTGTAAGAATATGGCCTTTCATAACTCATTATAAAGAACTGTTGGTACAAAACTTTAAAACCAAATAAAGACCTTTCATGGCTGAATTATAAACATTTTTCAGCGTTTCTACCATGATAGATTAAGCATGATTACGTCTAACAATGACACTCAAATGCAAGGTTAAAAAGTTTATCGATATCTAGTCCTGTAGTCGAGTTTAATAAAAGTAGCAAACCTCGTAACTGAATAGTCTCTTACTTTTTGTTCATTGTCAAACATTTAACACAGCCCATCAAAATATTGATATATTATCTTAAACACGAAAGTTGATAATGATTCTTACAAATCTTTAGGAATCTACATGTAAACCTATATAAGACATATACCGGTATATAGGAAATAGAACATTGCATTGGTGTGTTTACTAGTATCTTATGAGGTCTTTCCATTGATAGTATGTACTTAAAGATTCTGTAACTCATTTTTTATGGCTTAATATCATAAATATAATGCTCAAATGAAGATTTTTCAATAATGTAAGTTCCAAAAAGCCTTATTTGTAAAGATATTACCGAATTTACATTTTATGTTAATAAAGGGAGATAATTAGAAATGTATTTTCTATGAAGTTTAAATCAAATTTTCCAATAAGAAATGAATGCATTTATCTTAATGATTACATAAAATGTGCTGAAATATTTGCAGTACATATTTTACATATTATTCGATGTTTGAAAATTGTTTTAGAAGCATAATTGTATACAGATATAAAATTTCACTTAAGTGCGGTAACAACCTTAATTATAACATAAAGGATCTTTAAATGTGGAAGAGTGAGATCAAGTGTATTCCGGGTAAATGTATCTAAAAACAAAAACAAAATGTTATCAACATTACTTTTTACCGAAATGCTACACCTTTTTCATTTTCTTATTTTATATTACTGTAAAGACATTCTTATAATTCAATATGCATTATACGGATGCATGGTTATATTTAATAAAATGACACTATTTTGATCCTGTGTATAATACATTAAGATATTTTTACAATTTTAGGGTTCATGATGGGTAGCTCAATAGATTCATGTACTAAAGGTATTTGGGCATGGTGCAGACCACACCCTAAAAAGCAAAATGAAGTATTATTGTTACTCGATACTGAAGGTTTAGGAGATGCTACAAAGGTGATTTATACCAAGTGTTTGGTAAAAAGATAGATAATAAATGAAAATATTTAGTATATGTTTTAATTCTTAAAGAGTTATCATTGTTTTAGATTCGGCATGTGCAGCCATAATGTTTTGCAAACGATACACTGTTAATTTTTATATATTAACTCGCTTGGCTTGGAGCCTTTTTTGTCGGACCGCCTGCTAGAACTCACAAGAACTGGTGCAACTTGGGGAGTTATGGTCGTGGCCTAAACAGGGCTCGAACCTACGATCCATTACTTCAGAGACAGACAGAGTCTTTCCAGGCAGTTATTTTCATTTTCTTAAATGGCATCTGATATTGATTGTAATATGTATGTTGACATGAGACACATTTGTAAAGATTTTTGTAATTGTTCGAAAATATTGACGAAAATATTGAAATGACAAAAAAATATGTATGTTATAGTTGTCTGTCTTTGTAGGGTGATATTGACCATGACAATAAAATATTTACTCTGACTACTTTAATCAGCAGCACGTTAGTATACAATGTGATGTCAGCTTTTAATCAAGATGCAGTTGAGAAACTAACGTATCCTTTTCTGCTTTGATATTAACATATGTGAATAGTTTGCTGTAATGGACAAACATTACTTTGAATTTCTAAAATATTACTATGAATTTCTAGAATAAATGAAATAAATGATGAACTTATACTCGTAAGTTGTTTAAGAAACTAATGTTTAAAATTATTTATAAATAGAATCAGTGTTATGTTATCTGAATTATGAATTGTGGAAAATAATTACTATCCAATTAAACTGACTTTAATAAGTTTCTTGAACAGAAACAAGAGCACATTCTCATAATTGAATATGCTGCCAATACATTGGTTAATACTTTAAATAAAACTTTTCCATAATTTTTGATACGTTTGATAGCTTTGACAGTTCATATTTATGTAGATGACTTCTTTACTTGATGGAAACTTAACCATTTATACACACAAGACATTTAAATCTAAATAGCACCAGAAAGATCTCGCGTACTTCTTTTCAATTTTGTAAATTGATACCTTAACAACTTATAATATATGTCACCATGCTGTCACAAAATATAAAAGTATCCGCAAACGATTCGTCTAATGACGGTCTAGAAAGTATTATGCCTCAATTTGTACTTTGTGTCCGAGATTTCAATCTTGAACTAGAACACAATGGAGAAGAAATGACGGCCGATGAATATCTAGAAATGTGCCTCCAAACAAAAACCGCTGAGACCCAAGAAGATGAGAAATATAACAGACCACGAGAATGTATTAAGAGATACTTCACACGGAGGAAAGTGTTTACATTTGACAGACCAGCTGGTCGAAAAGTAATGAGAACTTTAGATTTGGCCAGAGAAGAAGACCTTAACGAGGATTTTGTACATGAAACAGAGAAATTCTTGGCATATATTTATACTTGCCCAGGAAAATATCTTCTTAATAAATCGCCCGTAACAGGAAGCAGTAAGTAGTTTAATATCATTAAATATAAGCTTATATATAAATATGAGAAAATATTGAAATAAACGTTTTCGTTTCTTTATTATAGTCATTTAATTATTTGTATATATCTTCATAAATATTTGTTTCTGTAAGAGTTTGATGAAGCAGAATAGTTAGTGAAAACTACACAAATATTAACTGTATGAAGTAATTTTTAAGATATTATAAAATGTTTTATAATTAATTTTGTTCTATGCTGATGTATCAAATAATATATGTCTTAGTGTAAGTATTCTAGGTAGAAACTTGAAAATTGAAAATCTAATAAATCGTGTAATGCAACTTAAAATTAACTCTAAAGAGTTTTTAGGAGACAATATCAGTAATTTATTTGATCTTGGCCTGGTGACTTCCGTTAGCTCTTTCTCAACAATAAGCATTTTGGTTTAAGCGAAGATCTGGTTGAAAGTTATGAATGGTATTCTTATTATAGTGTTAGCTAAACTTCTAAGAGAATATGTAACCACAATAAGTGATGGCAATGTACCATGTGTCGAAGATGCTATGATGATCATGGCAAGACAAGAAAACGGAAAGCATGCAAATGTAGCTGTCGAAGAGTACAAAGTATTTCTGAAACAAACACAGATTCCGGTATATGACAAAAACGAATTGTGTGATTCTCACATAAAGTTCAAAAAAGAGAAGTTATCAAGTCTGCAGTCCAAACTGATGTTTGATACAGACAGCAAATTCCAAAAGTCAACAGAGGTAAAATAAGTATTTCGCATTGTAAAGAGTTTGTTTATCTAAATAACAAATTTGATAACAATTAAACATGGAGAACATATCTTTATATTCTTGTTTCGTTGTTATGTTAAATTAAAATGGTTTAACCACATAGGAACATCACGGATTCAATCATTTAACAATGTTGTCCTTATAAACTTTAATTGTAGCTAGAACATATGGTTAGTTATACTCGTACTGAGCTAAGTCTCAATTTATATCCTTTAAGAAATGATACAAGTTTGTTATAAAATATAAGTTAGCGAAAATTTTATATCAACAAAATCTTCCTACTATTGTTTCTCCAACCATTTATACATTATTTTTTTGCAGGCTGAAATGCAAACACTTTATGAACAATTTGAAAAGCATAATTCAAAGCTTTTATATGAGAAATGTATAGATACACTCCACAAGATGCACGAGGAAACTGTGAAAGTAAATATTAAAAAGGGAAAGTACGCAACCTCTGGTGGCCACGATGTCTACGACCAAGACATGCATAAACTATATGATGAATACAATAAAGAACTAAAAAACATAGACATCGCTGAGGTATTGTTTCGGTTTAATTTCCGATCATGAAAATAATTGTTGTCTTTGTTGGTATTTTGATTTTTACTTCTAGTTACGTGGACACAGTTTTCGTCACTTTTATGTATAATTATATAATATGGTACCTACTTTTTGAATTTGTCTTTTGACAGCTTATCTGTGATACGTAAGCTTAATTTAAATTCCAATATAATATATTTAGTTTCGCCACTACTTTTCTCGTTTAGGGCGATATCAATTTTTTTACCATACACCGCTTTTCATGGAAGTGCACTACTGTGTCACATTGAAGTCTCCATGACAAACTTTTACCATTCTACGTTATATATGAATTATGCATAAGCTGGCACAAACAAACCGAGCCAGCAATATTTTCATATTGCCCTTTTGATGTTCTTCAAGGAATCTTTATTTCTCTTTATTTAAGCCTATTTTCATAATCCAGCACTTTATTCGCGGGCTTTTACGTTTACAGTCAAATAATATATACGCAATTAATTTACTATCTTCATTTCAAGTCATTTATTTACGTTTTTAGCAGTATGATATTTTTTCTTATTTTACTACATCTGATCAAAAGATTCACTTTTAATATGTTTTTGTGTTGTTTCTGCTTTAAATGAAATGAATATTATTACAGTGTCTGATAAATTTGACTGTGTATAATAATTGTAATGATATAACAGCAAAGGCCAATAAGGAAGGAAAACGTTCATGGAAAGCAGCTCACAACAGTATTCAGCAATATAGGACCATGTACATTTCAAGCTTATACAAATTTATGCAAATTGGCTGACTGGCTATTCCATTGCTACAAATGGATAATACTTAGTCACTGGTTGAGCTGGTTATCACGAAAAACAAAAGGATTTTATGTCGTGTAGCTGTGGGCAAACAAAACCGGCGGAGTTAAATTTTTCACTGCTTAAAACTGAAAAAGTTTCGTTGGTAAGGCACCGGGAAAATGCCAAATTGAGAGAAGGGCACAGAAAGCGAGATATGGGATTTCGGGGTTAATAAGTTCATTTAAACTTTATAGAATGCGTGGAATATGAAACTCAATTTGAGTTCTGTTTTTGTCTGGTGCCCAAATGGGTCCTTTGCCTAAGGTCCTATGTTTCGGGCTACATGCAGTGAAAGTTGCATATCTTTGCTGATCTTTGTTTTCATATTTTTAAACTGTAAGACTATTGAAAGACCTGCGTGAAGTAGTCTATTGTTCATATATTAATTGCAGAGAATAAAGGCACAACACGATTTTGAAAGCAAAATGATACATGAAAATAAGCTGATGATGACAGAGGATAAAAAGTTGTCAGAGAAAGAGTCAAAAGGTATAGTACCATTTTATATCTGATGTTTACTTTTTTGTCTATTCTCCTTAATGATATATTTTACGATGCTCATTTCAATTTCCTGAAGATATTTAAAGTATTTGCTAATATTCAAAAACATTCTAGCAATACTGTGCCTAAAATTGTGTTTTATTTCAAATCAATAGTACTCTTTTTATCCGACCGAAGACCATCAGGACGTATTATTGTATGGCGTTGTCTGTCCGTCTGTCCGTAGCTAACATGTTTCCGTAGCAAAACTTTTAAAGGACTTCAGTGAAAGTGTTTATATTCAGCATGTTTTGTTAGTTTGTTTTATCTTATTCGATTTTGGCTGTTATTAGTTATGTCCCTTTTTAAGAATTTTTCAGTGATTTTTTTTGGTTTCCCCAGCACAAAGTTTTTTAAGCGCTTTCGATGACTGTGTTTATATTTTGCATGTAAGTATGTTATATCAAAACGTAGGTTTGATTTTGGCTGCAATCAATTCTTTAATAATAGCGATATGCCCCTTTAAGCTTTTATTTGTAAAATTATTGGTTTTCGCTGCATAACTTTAAAAGATTTTAAGTAACTGTGTTTTTATTTGAGGAATGTAATTATTTCATATTACAACACAGGTCAACTTTAATTGTTGTTGCAATCAATTCATTGTTGATAAAGTTCTGCTCCTTTGTAATCAATATTTAAGTGAAATTATAGATTTCATCAAAACTTTTATAGGATTTCAATGTTTCTGTTTATTTTTGGCATGCAAGTTTCTTATACCAAAACACAAGTTACATTTGATATTCATTGCAATCAGTTGATTCTTGGTAATACTATGTCCCGTTTTCAGCGAAATATTTTGTGAAATTATTGAATTAACTGTGTTTGGCATGCAAGTATGTATTCGAATAAAAAACTTGTCAAGTTTGATTTTCTCCGCACTCCGGTAATAGCAACCTTGATTTTAATTAATCTTTATATCAATATGAAAACAAATCATAAGGGTCAGATATATTCTATAACTAATATGTTAACTTTTTACCTAGAAAAATATTCACTTTTAAAAAAGTCATTATCTTGGCCATTTATAATAATCTGCTAATCTTTCTTTTAATTTATTTTTTTGTCCATGATGCCATTACGTTCTTAATGTTATCCATATATAACCAATAGATGTTATGACTACAAAACTAAACACATTGAAAACTGAGTTGATACAGTCACAAGAAAATGAGAGAATAAAACTGGAGACAAAACTTGATGATCAACGCAGGTTTTTCGAAGAAAAAATGGAAAAGGCTAAAATGAAAGAAAAAGAACGAGAAAAAAGAAAAGCTGCAGAGCATAGAGAAGAGCTAAGAAGAATGAAGGAGGAACTTGAAGAGGAACTTGAAGATGAGAAAGAAAGGGAACGAGAAAAAAGAAGAAGAAGAGCTGAGAAAGAAAGGATAAGACAAAGGGAATATGAACAAAGTAAAAGGTGTTATTTATCATAATGTTGTAATATCGTAATTTTTTAACTTGCTTACCTTTTGCGTTATGAATGTTAAGTTGTCAACTGAAAATGTCTTTTAATTCGTTTGTAAAAGATACATGTACATACATATCTGACGGAAACGTACTTGATGGGTAACTCTATTGCCTCCCCTTTCTATAAGTTCACCATTTGTATTGGAAAAATATAATAATGTATTTGTAAATTTGTCATGGTATAAAGAGTAAGTATTTTAATCATTTTAACTTTAAAATCTGTATAACTTTAGGGTATCATTCAAAGTGCTTGTATTTGAAATTGTTTATATATTGTTCACAGTAATTCATAAGAGAAATATTTTTAAGTAACAGACGCTTATAAGATTTTGTTAGAATCAGTATCAAGAAACGTTTTATTTTTATTAGCCAATCAAAATCATTGTTTTTATTCACTGCAGAGATGGTTCAATCACTAGTATAAATAGAGCATTCGCAGCGCAAAAGATTCAATTTGGTTTCGTCCGTGGGGCAGATCAGAGCAGTATTATATTTACTAGTACCGATGCATCTTAGATATCCGGTGCTAAAAATATCTTGCTGCTTCTGTGAAACCTCATGGACAAACGTTCGATAAAAGAAAGTTTAAGAAATGGGTAGTTTAAGTTGGTTTGAACATGTATGTGTATAGAAGGGAACGACGTAGTAAATACATACTAGTGTACAGAAATCGCAGATATCTGGCACTAAGGACGTTTTACTATATCTGTCAAATCTCTGAGTATTTGTTTAGTTTAAGTATTTTCAGAGAATAGATATTTGAAATATGTTTGGTTATGTCCTTGTAAGAGTTGGATCGTAATGATAGTAGCATTTTCATGTACACAGAATCTCAGATATCTGGTACTGAAATGTTCTATTGTTTCAGTAAGATCTCGGGCAAACGGTTGATTAGAAATATTATGGTTGAAGTTAAAGCTATATATATAGTTACTAGTACACAGAAATCTCGGATATCTGGTACTAAGGATGCTATATATTTATAAGGCAAATGATTATTGAAGAATTTTTTGTTATCAATGTTTGAATCTTTAGAAAGGAATGTAGGATAAGAGATTGTTGAAATGTAAAAGAAGGGGAATGAAGGATAGGTTTAGCTTTCGACTGGTATTTGTTTGAGAATTGTTTTTAAGAATATAAATTGTTTCTTTTTGACTATACAATAGATAAATACTGAATCCCTAAAGAAAGCCCAACACGGCAAAATTGAAAATGTTGCAGGCTCGGTTTGATTGAGCCTGTTCATGGACGGTACTGGAAAGTGCAAGTTACCGTCTACGCCCCCTAGCACCGGCTTAAGCAGAATTCAACATTTAAACATGAAATAGTAAAATTTTGAATTTAGAAACATCCGCAGATGTGTTCATTTTGAATAATTTAAGAAGTGGAGTAAGATTGTTATTTTGCAGTCAACGATTTTTATTTAGTTATTTTCCAATCATAAGGTTAGGCATCCCGAGAAAAATTATATATTTGCATTTGGGAATCTTGTGATTTTAAATCATTTTATTTTGTAGCTATAGATTAAATAACCGACCGCTCGGTACACGCTACACATATGCTAATCTATTAGGAAAGGATGTACATAACTCTATGATGAAAAAAATTAAAAAGATCAAATCAAAGATAAAATTATCTTAAAAAGACATGGCGATATGTAGATATAAGAGAGATTTATATGCAATGCATTTAAACTTCGGTAATGTGTGCTGTAAAGTTATCCTTCTTACATTTTTATGAATAGTTATTCATGGTTTTATGATGTTTTATCTATCTAAGATTTTTATACATTTATATGTTAGGTGCACTTATAAATGATAACAATATATTACATTTTTGTAATTTGAAATCTTAATTATATTTACAGTCTATCATTTATAAAAAGTAATAATAATAAAATACATTCTTAAATGCTATAAGTTTTAGGAATGTTAATTGCATTATAAAATCATAATGTATTAATATTAAGAAACATTGCGCAGTATTTTAACTGACACTTAGAGTAGAGTTGATACAAGTTGTTAAGGGGTCCTTTTTAACCGGATTTTAACCCCTATTTCATCTTTAAAATATTGACCCCTTAACTGACATACATTTTGAAGTCAATGTCATATTGCAATTGCCTATACTTGTTGTTGTTGTTCTCTCTGTTGCTGCTTCTGGTACTCTGCTGCTCTTTCTGCAGCTGACAAAATAATGGTAAAACTTATGGGTCCCGCTAAGAAATAGGTAAACATCTTATTAAAATGAATATGAAGTATTCAATGCTTAATGCAAATTCTTATTCCTGAAAGAGTCTTCATTTTCAATGAGAACACAGAGTTTTGGTGCAAGTTATAAGCTCAGAGGAGGCAATCTTTTTTTCATACTTTGTCTTCATTTATGTAATTCAGCAAAATAGGCCATCATTTGTAGGTAAAAGAACAAAATCCGTTCTTTATCACTTTATTTTAAGCACTGACATTAGATTATAAATTTGCATACACCGATGTGTTAATATGCCCCCACTTCAAAGAAGAGGGGGTATATTGCTTTGCATTTGTCTGTCTGTCGGTCGGTCGGTCTGTCGGTCCGTCTGTCCGTAGACCAAATGGTTTCCGAGTGATAACTAAAGAACCCTTAAGACTAGGGACTTCAAACTTGGTATGGTAATTGGTCATGACCAGTAGATGACCCTTATTGATTTTGGGATCAAGAGGTCAAATGTCAAGGTGACATTGACATTGTAAGTAAAAACGATTTCCGATCAATAACTAAAGAACGCTTAAGCCAAGGTACTTCAAACTTGGTGTGATGATTGGTCATTACCAGCAGATGGACTCTTTTGATTTTGGGGTCATAGAGTCAAAGGTCAAGGTCACATTGACCTTGTAAGTAAAAACTGTTTCCGATCAAAAACTAAAGAATGCTTAAGCCTAGGAACTTCAAACTTGGTATGATGATTGGTATTGACCAGTAGATGACCCTTATTGATTTTGGGATCAAGGGGTCAAATGTCAAGGTGACATTGACCTTGTAAGTAAAAACATTTTTCGACCAATAACTAAAGAACGCTTAAGCCAAGGTACTTCAAACTTGGTGTGATGATTGGCCATGACCAGCAGATGGCCCCTTTTGATTTTGGGGTCACGGAGTCAAAGGTCAAGGTCACATTGACCTTGTAGGTAAAAACGGTTTCCGATCAATACTTATAGAATGCTTAAGCCTAGGTACTTCAAACTTGGTGTGATGATTGGTCTTGACCAGCAGATAACACTTATTAATTTTGGGATCAAGGAGTCAAAGGTCAAAATGGTTTTATATCAATAACTAAAGAACGCTTAGGCCAATGTACTTCAAACTTGGTGTGATGATTGGTCATGACCAGCAGATGACCCCTATTGATTTTGGAGTCAACGAGTCAAAGGTCACAGTGACATTGTAGGTAAACACGGTTTCCGATCAATAGTAAATAACGCTTAGGCCTAGGAACTTCAAACTTGGTCTGATGATTGGTCATAACCAGCAGATGACCCTTATTGATTTTAGGGTCAAGAGGTCAAAGGTCAAGGTCACATTGACCTTGTAAGTAAAAACGGTTTCCGATCAATAACTACAGACTGCTTAGGCAGAAGAACTCCAAATTTAGTATGATGATTGGTCATGACCAGCAGATAACCCCTATTAAATTTTGGGTCAAGGAGTAAAAGGTCAAGGTCACAGTGACCTTGTAGGTAAAAGCAGTTTCCGATCAATAACTAAAGAAGGTTTAGGCCTAGGAACTTAAACTTGGTATGATGATTGTTCATGACCAGCAGATGACCCCTTTTGATTTTGGGTCAAGGTGTCAGTGACATATTGACCTTGTACTTAAAGACGGTTTCTGACCAATAACTCAACAACTCAAGTTGCCATGGTTGATATTTTTATATTTAACTAAAAATGCTTATGGTATACACTTTTGAAGGTCTGATGTAATATAACAACTTGGATGTCAGTAATGAGGCCTACATGATTCATAAAAATGATGCATATATTATTTGTTAAGATTTGTAATACCTTAAATTTATGCACACAACCTATGGGGTCACAATTATTACTAGTATTACATTGTGACTAGTCATGACCAGTAGATAACCCCTATAATTTTTTTTGTTCACTGGGCCAGAAGTCATGCATAATAACCAAATCACATGACTAATTGGCTGCCGATAGGGGGCATACAAGTTTTACAAACATATCTTGTTAGGTCTAATGTGTATTTGTTTGTTTAATTGGATTTTACGTCACACCGACACAGTATAGGTTATGTGGCGACGTTCAAGCTTTACTGGTGGAGGATGACCTCAGGTACCCCTCTTTGCAAAACTGTTTCATGCACAAACAGACATCTGAGAACAATAACCGACGTTCCGTAAGCTAGCTTTATTGTATCGTATAACACGTTCCAAACACACTCTCATTCCTGAAATGATATCAAATTCAAATGTACTTTTGTCATATCATTAGAAAATTGTTTAGAATTTAATGAAAAATGATATGGTTATGTTATGCTACAAATTTGAACAGAATGCTGAGGGCACTGATAAAGAGAAACAGAAATGATCAGCTTAACAAGGGACTTCAGGTAACATATTCTCACTCTAGTTTCACACTTAAATAAATCTTACATGCTAGGATTTACGTCTTAATATACGGTAAACCATACTGTATTAGAAATCTCGGCTCTTGAAAATAATCTGAACGAGTAAAGTAAACTCCCTTTTAGGGGCAAATAACTTAATAAGCAGCATAGTAACCCACGATATTTCTTTCATCGATTTGCTTTTACGTACTTTATTATATTATATTAAAACATTAAGAACATTGTCTATTTTTTTTTATTTTCCTGGCTATAAATTCGAATGTCTGTTATCTTTCGGTAAAAGGAAGAAAATGACTGATGCGTAAGGTATGAAATTATGTACAAACTTTATGCTTATTTTTTCAAAGTGCCTTTGAAAAACTAGCCATTTAGTATAAAGCATGTTATCATATAAAATAACGACATTTCTCTTTCAAGTGTGTGTATAACGACATACATCATTGTCACGTGACATTCTGTAATATGAGTGATTATATGGAGTTGTGATATTGCCTTTTCAAATTAAAAATTTAATTTTGTCCATGTTCTATTTGTTTTGATTTTTCTTCTTGAAAACGTGCAAAATATATGCCCAATATGTATTTTTGTCTGTTTATTGTTCGATTGTGATGAAAACTGGAATATTATTTGAACAACATTCTAGTCCGTTTCCAACAGGATCTTTTTTATAGAATGGTATTATATTAGAAAGACCCTGTTTCCAAGTATTAACCAGTACTGGTGTCTTATGACGAAATAGGGCGATGACAAAAGAAGAGTTATAAAGCATTTGTTAGGAAATGGCAAGTCAGCTTTTGATCTCTTTTAGCGTTACGAATCGCAAAATGGTGCATAAATGGCAAGTACATGTTAAGTCACGTCAATCTTATGTCCTAGCAAAGTTGTTACTTCATATTTTTACTTACAGCAGTAACAATTGACACCGTATGATTTCTCCCTTCAATCATTTTTTCGTTGAAATTATTTAGTGCTAATTTTTTTTTCTCAACTTTCATCAAATTCTTTTTGTTTTTATACATTGAATAGTCAAAATTATCACATTCCAGCGTCATTTAAATATAATCTCTTTCAATGACACTTGCATACTTAGCAAAATTAGAACAGAACAGAACATTATTTTATTTCGACTTGTACATAGTACATAATCATAATCATACATAGTGTGATAATACATTGAAATACATTACAATACATTTTCAATACTAATTTCCAATGCATTAAAACAAACTTTAAAGACAATGTCACGTTACTTTAGTTATTATTCTAGAATGTTATTTCAAATTAACAAAAATTGGTATTATAGTGTTGAGGATAAACTGTTTTAAACATAATTAAATATACATGTTTACATAGCAGACATATCTTCAGAAAAAATCTATACATAAAAATGTTGAATGGAATTTCTTTAATAAGACATATATATTCATAAATCAAATTTATCTGACAGAATTAACAATAGTATTTCTGTAATTTAATGACTCTTTTATATATTTTGCCAGATTAAATAATATATTCTTTTTATTGCTACATAGTAGTTCAATAAACTTTATCATGGAAGGCCTTTTATAGTAGTATTTTTTAATAAACTTTTTTCTAATTTCTAAGAAACATGGGCATATCAATATGAAATGGTACTCGTCCTCTATATCAACATTGTTACAGCAAAGACAATATCGTTCATTACGTGGCAATCTATTTTGACCATACCTTCCAGTTTGAATTCTCAGTGAATGAGCTGACATTCTCATTCTTGTAATAAAAAATCTATAGTGTTTTGGTAAAATATCTAAATAATTTTCATATAATAGTGTTGTTTTACAACTTTTATAAAGATCCAATACTAAACTGTTTTCAATCGCTGTATTCCATTCTTGTCTATAATTATCCAACAGTCTTTGTTTAAACAATCTTGGAAAAATTTTACAATCAACTTTATTAATATTAACAAAATAATCGGAAAACCCATACATATCAAGCATATTCTTAACATCAGTAACCCAATTATTACAACCTTTATGACAATCGTATAAACTTTGTTCATAAACCTTCTGCAAGATAATATTATCTGTAACTAACAATCTACACCAAAATTTTATAATTCTAACATATCTATTTATGAAAAGAGGATATCTACCTAAATCTCCGTATACGCTTGCGTTACATGTATTTTGTCTAACATTTAAAATTCTTTTACAAAATTTCATGTGTATACGTTCTATGTCTTTGGACTTATTATAGCCCCAAATCTCCGAAGAGTATGATAAAATTGATCCAACAAATGCATCAAAAAGCTGACACAATAATGTAGGCTTAAAATCAAAATCTTTACAATTATACAATAACATATTTAAAGCTTTCAAAGATTTACCAATCAAATGTTCCCTGTGCAACGAAAAATTACCAGTGTAGCTGAAAACCGTGCCAAGATAATTAAAATGGTTTACAATTTCTATTTCTTGTCCGTTATAAAACCATTTTTCATTGTTAAAAATATTTCCCCTTTTTCTAAATATCATTATCTTGGTTTTTTCAATATTAACTTCTAATCCCCATTCTATACAATAAGTATACAATAAATCAAGGCTTTTTTTGTAAATCATCCGGACTTTTGCCTATAATAGCCATATCATCTGCAAAAAGTAACAAGATTAATATAATGTCGTCAATTAACAAACCAGAACTTATGTTGCTTTGTAAATGTAACTCTAAATCCTCTACAAAAATGGAGAAAAGTATTGGTGAAATTACCTCCCCTTGTCTTAAGCCTACGGCATACTTAAAGAAATCAGAATAACAATTACAACATCTTACACATGACTTAACTTTATTATACATATCTCTAATGATTCGCAATATTTTACCTTGAATGCCACACTTATACATTTTCAACCAAAGCGAGTTTCTACATATGCTATCAAAACAAGATTTTAAATCAATAAACCCTACATATAACCTTTTATTATTATTAAGATAGTGTTGAATTACATTTTGTAAAATAAATATGGCATCTATAGTTGATTTTCCTTTCCTGAAACCAAATTGACAGTCTGATATAATGCAATTGTTTGAACAAAAATTTTCAATTCTAGTATTTAATACAGTAGTACAAAGTTTAGATAAACAACTTAGGAGAGTAATTCCCCTGTAATTTTTTACGTCACCTGAGTCACCCTTTTTGAACACAGGCACAATAACACCCTCTGTCCATTTATCTGGGAAAAAACCAGACTCTAAAATAATATTAAATAAATCACATATATGTCCACATAAAATATCTATGGACGTTATAAAATACTCATTTAATAAATAGTCTGATCCGGAAGCTTTATTCTGTTTTAAGGATTTTACAGCTTTACGGATCTCCTCACATGTAATGGGTATATCTAACTCATCAAACCTACAATCACTTGAATTAAAATCATGTTCATTACAAAACGTTTTACACTCTAAATTTTTTTATTCAAAAATATTGTTAGATAACTTTTCAAAATATGTCTTGAAATCTTCTACAGAAATGTCATCTGAAACAGATGTTTTATTTTTTTTTAAATCGTAATTTTTCAATTTCAGAATATTTCCTCTTTATATATGATTTCTTTTTCCTACGGGTTAAATTTTTATATTCTTTTTTACATATACAAAATATTCTCTACTTTCTACATCTTTACAATAATTAAAATTATTCAAAGCATCTAGATAACGGTTTTTCAACAATCTACATTCATCATCAAACCAGTCTGCATTATTTGAAGTAAAACTATCAGTGAATGAAGCGTTATGTTTTTGTTTATAATTCTTCTCAAAAAATGGGTCAGCCACGCCCCTTAGTAAGCAGGTAAAGTTATTTAAAACATTGTTCACACAACCTCGGTCACCACAATCAATACCAATCAAAAGTTGGTTAAATTCCGGTAATTTTGCGATTAATCCTGCTCTGAATGAATTTTCCAGATTACTATCCCATACATATTTTACATAGCTACTTTCTTTACGGACAGGTAAACAAACGTTTGTTTTCAACGATAGACTTACAGGAGCGTGATCACTAAATTCGCTTACAGATTGTATTTCAAAAGAAGTAATATTTGAAAAATTAACTGCATTTGTCAAAACATAATCAATAACTGATGCTCCAGTTTGTGAAACGTATGTGTACATACCAATATTAAAATCATTATGCAACTTTCCGTTAACAATACGGAGATTTGTTGATCGACATAGATCAATTAATTTTACACCGTAGTTATTACAGGGTTTATCTAAGGAGGCCCGGTCAATAAATTTATCGGGAACATATAACTCGTCATCAAAAGACTTATTCATACAATCAAAGATTATAAAATCATATTTATTACCAACTCTACTATTGAAGTCTCCCATTAAATATACAGTTCCTAAAGATTCAAAATGGTTAATATCATTTTCAATATATTCAAATAAATCCACATTTACAGTATTATATGCTGGGGAGTCCTCGCCCCACAAATAAACACCACATAAGTAAATATCATTTTCAGTATGGAAAAAAGATTTGTCGAGTTTAACCCAAATTAATGTATCGAACCTATTCTCAACAATAGAAATACCTGGTGATATTGTTTCTTTATAATATATTGCGACTCCGCCACTCGATCTTTTTGCTCTTCGGTGTTGGAACTGTCTATAGAAATTATGGGATTTATATCCAGAAATGTCAATTACACTGTTCTTACACGCAAATGTTTCATACAAAAAAATGATGTCATTTTTAGTAATTATACCCAAAAGTTCGTTGTTGTCTCTTTTAAATTTACTTAAACCATTTATATTCCAAGATATAATTTTCAGTTCATCCCCCGCAATTTCCTAGCCCTTAACTGGTTTGCCGTCTATGTATAACGTGTCGTACGT